ACCTTCCTCATAACTATGTATATTCGGAATATTTCGGAGTAACATATAAGTGGCATGCCCTATTGACTATTTAAGTATTGGGCATGCCTATGGCATGCCACCATTGGCATGCCAGGGTGGCATGCCTGTGACCTCTGTGCCACTTACCCTAACCCTAACCCTAATCTAACTCTAATTCAGACTATATAGGTGTTATGTACTGTGTTATTACTAGTCATAAGTCCAATAAAGAAAATTATTAGTCCTAGCTCTCATGTTCAATTGGACATATGGCTAATCGGACAAGTGGCTAATTAACCTTAGTTGTTGTCCACACACCCAATTGAAATTAGCCATATGTCCAATTGGACATGAGGGCTAGGGCTAATTGAACACATACCTAATTTAATAAAGAAAAAAGTGGATATTTGTCTCTTGGGTGTATGTTTAGTGTTGTAATTGTGTGGTTCGATTGATACACCAATTAAACCCTGTAGAATTAATTAGCTAGCAGCGTAGGAGTAGAACGGAGAGTAATCAATTAGTTAATGATGTGTATGCAACATTAGTTATCGTGTATAGTTTAGAAAAGCTCTTGCACAGAACCACAAATGCGATAAGTATTGATTGTTCGTATTCGAAAATGTGATCTGAACATGTGAAACCTCAGATCCAGTATGATCGGTATGTAAGAATGTCGTAATTTTGAGATTTTATTCTGGGTTTATAATGTGGCCACCAAAATTGTAATAGCCAAGCGAAAGTAAGAGATTGGTTCACCAACTCTATGAAAGCGTGACCAATTATTGCATTCGGAGCTATAGTTTATTCACTTGATTAAACTGCATTGTAGTTTGCCTTACTATGATTTTTATGATTTATTTTCGCGCGTTATGTGAACTTATGTGTCTTTGCTATTCTTAACTGGGATATGGATACGTTAATAACATCTATATACTATATCACCATAGTAAGTTCTGTAACAAAATTTTTTACAGTAATTCATAATAGAAATCACAATAATTCTAATACACATACTATGTCTTACTAGAGTAGTAAATTTCTTCAACAGGATCTTTTACCACAACTCATGATTAAAATTATAATATGATAATTCAATGCAAACTAACTTACAACATACAGTATTATGATGACCAGAGTGGCGAGTAAGCTTTGTAACTGAATCTTTTATAGCAACACATAATAGAAATTACAATACTAATTAACCCAAACTTTACCTACAAATTATTGTTATTGAAATAGTAAGTTTTACTGTAGCTCATGATAGAGGTCACAATAATTCTGATGCGAATTAACTCGACCTTACCTACATACTATGTCTCACTGGAATAGCGAATTCTTTAAAGAATGTTTTCAGCAACTTATGAAAATTACGATAATTTCAATGCAAACTAACTTACCACATTTTGATTATTGGAATAGCGAGTGGGTATTGTAATAGAATTTTTTGCAGTAATTCATAAAATTACGATAATTATAATGGCAAGGCTCATGATAGAAGTCACGATAATTCTGATACAAACTTAACTACATATTATGCCTGACTAGAATAGCAAATCCTGTAACAAATAAGATTTTTTGCAGAAATTCTTGATACTATAGAAGTAATCAACTAATTGTATTTTGGTAGTTTTTTTTGTATAATATAAACATGTTACAGTAGCGTAAATTTTCAGGTTATTAAATTTGAGATATTTAATCAAATTACAATAACAGATTAAGTATTTTGATTTTAAAATTTGGAATATATCGATATTATTAGAATGGTGCTAGTCATCTGTACCACACTAATCTTCTGTAATCTCGTTTATTGAGATTATCTGATAATTATATATTATTATAAAAAATATATTAAGGCCAACTAGACTTATAAAGCCCAATTCAAATTTAGCCCTTTTAACCTTATGTCCAACCAATAACAATACTGATTGTGTTATGAATATAATATTTCTAATCTAAATATCAATATAAAAAATAAGTACTAAATTTATTTAATTATAAACAAATCGAATATACTACCATTTGGAATTTCAACATCAATGTGTTGACTTGCTAAAATATATACATATAAATATTAAATTACAGTTTAAATCCAATTTTTTTTTTTAAATTTAGCCATATTCTATAGTTTTGATAATAACTCAAAATTTTACTAGGGTAACCCTGTCATGTAACTAAGCAAAAATGCTTCTCTCGCAATTTTCCCCTACTCTAACCCTAAACCTAACTCTAACTCAGTGTTGTCACTTAGCTATTTGGCCGGCTAATGGTTGCAGTCAATGGCCAAATACTTTGTATAGCAAAACTTGGTAATATGATTGGTTAATTTATATAAATTAGGAACTTTTGACTAAAGTTTAGCTATTGGCCATTGATCAGCCAATTGGCCAGTCAATGGCCAAAAAAATTGTTTGGCCGCAAAAATTGCCAACACTGCTCTAACCCTAACCCTAACACTTTGATACTGTACTAACACTAATCTTAAGCAGCATATAATTTTTATAAAAAACATTATTTTGATAGTACGGCTACATGTAGCCTATGGCTACAAATAAATTAGTTCAAATAAATATTATTACCTGACTTCGATAATTCACTTATACAATATATATATGTTGTATATAATTGGAAATGGAATTTAAGTGGATTCGGAATTTCCTAGTTAAATGAGCACAGGTCGAAATAAGGCAAATCGGGTTCAAATCGGCATCACAAGATCCTGATATGGACCCGATTTGAACAGATATTTGGCACAAATAAGATACCTATAGGATCTTGTGATGCTGATTTGAACCTAATTTGCCTTATTTCGACTCGTGTAGGGTTAGGGTGTACATATGATAAAATCAACCCCGAAATTTGGTTTTTTATATAAATTCCGAATCCATTTAAATCCCGTTTCCTACAACATATATACAACATAATTTATTTCGTACCAGATACTAATTACAAACATAGTGACAGGTGATATACTGATGGTCATTAGTCAATTTTTTTTTAATGATCATCACAATCCACCCGCGCTAAGTTCACACTAGCTTTGAAGCACCATGCAGAGATGCCAACTAAGCAAAGGCCTTTTGATAGATATGAATTTGACGATGAATGGAGGTTCTTGGGGTTACTGATTATTTTGCACAGTGAATATAGATGTTCTTTGAAGCTAGAAATGGCCTTTATGATGATTTTTTGTTAGTAAAACGGTACGTTCCCAAAAAGCTTAAACTGTATAAATAAGTTACCCGGACAATCAATTTACATTAGCAATCTTCCTATGGATCCTGACGCGATATGTATACATAATTTAGATTGGTCAGTTATCACATACTATGATCTCTTTCGAAATATTCCAGAATATTGCTCTCGACTTTGCTCATAATTTCATAGAAAGACAAGCACCTGATCGGCTGATGTAATCAATTGTCTGGGTAACTAACTTATACTGTTAAAAGTACTTTTTAAACCGCAACGTTTACTATGAAATATAATTTTTTTTATAATTAGTTTTAGAAGAGCATTGCCTTTCACTATGCAAAATAATCACAAAATAATCACAAAAACAAAAAAACTTTACTTAGAAGCAAAGACAACTATGTATACTACTGTATTACCTTTTGTCTAAGTATTAGCTATACATAACAGAAAGACAGTCAAATAAAAAGACAATCAAGATGATTAAAATAAATTGTGAAGTTGAAAAAAATTCTTACAGGTTTTTAACTTATCATATTTAGGTTTAAAGTACTTATTTTAATCCGTTTATTAGACCGTGTGAATATATGCTATAGATTAAAAGTAACTGGAAATGTTTATTTATTCCATTAGATTTAAATAAACTTTTATTATTAATTGTTTAATTTGGATAGGTGCACGTCTTTAGTGTAAAATATCTGGGTTTAATGTTCAAAATTGGTCAATTCTTATAGTTCTTGTAGTATGTTCAGATGTGTAAGCTGTAAATTAAAACTTTAGTTTATATCGTAGATTCTTTAGGTTTATTAGTAATAATAGCACCTTTATGTGTATCTATCTATTCTCTAAAATTTATATACAATAAATTCTTTTATATACTGTATTTATTAATTGAATTAATTTAAAATTGACCGGTGGTGAAATTCACCGGCTTAAGAATTTTTAGGGTTAGGGTTAGTGTATTAAGAATTATTTTTTTTTTATATAAAATAATATAAAGCTAATATAAGGTTCCAATCTTAGTTCTCGTAAGTTTTCAGCTGTTCTGACCATTTTTACTTAGAGTACCCGATCCCGTTTACTTAGTACGTTTTTGAGATACAGCACCCCTGGTGAATTTAACCTCCGGTGAGCGTTAAAATCGTCCTTAAAATAAATAAATAAATTAAATTAAATATTAAAATATATGAGGTGAAGTCAATAGAAATAGACAAATTTATCTAATAAATTTGTCTCATTTCTATTAATTTACCTTATATATATTTTATATATACTTGTTATCCAAAATTCCAAACTATTATAGTTTGGGTTTGTTTATGTTCAAATCCAAATTCTGGCCAAATTAATATCTTAAGAACTATTTTTATTTAAACAAATAATATATATTTTTTATAATTATATATAATATACAGTATTCGCAAAATATCAAAATTGTTTTTTTGATTTAATTTTTATAAATGAAGTTTGTTTTTAAAATTTGTCCGGGTTTTACCAACAAGTGTGGTTTTATATGAGCTGATTTTTGTTGATCGATCAACAAAAATCGCAAAATTTATAAATAAGTTATATATTATATATATATATATATATATACTATATATGTCATATTTTCATTTAAGTTACTGTATATCGATATGTACCAATTTTTTTAATCAGCTCATACGTATGCCAAAGTGCATTACATCTTTCCGGTTTTAGCATAATTATGTCGATCGTTAGTGTTTCAGCATTAATAAGATGTATATATAATTTAAGAAGACAATTTAGGTATATTTAAACGTTCACCGCAATATTGCAGAACTATCAAGATGGTTTCTTCAAACATAAAACTTCTTTATCATCCAGAATACTATCATGGTGATGGTATTGAAAAAAATTTTTTCGAGGGTTGGTATTTTAAAACAGTATCAAAAGACAATAATGAAACATTTATCGTAATACCGGGAATTTACCGTGCACCTTCGATCACAAACGACAATGAATCCCACGCTTTTGTAATGGTCCTTCTTTCTGGATCTGATTGTCTATATTATCGATATGAAGTTAACGAATTTGAAGCGAGTTCTAGTTCTGATATGGAATTTTATGTAAAGATCGGGGATAATAAATTTCAAAAAAGTGGCATAACACTTGATCTCCCTTCTTCACGACTAATAAAGCCTACTGATAAAGAATATGAAGAATATTCAGATTTATTAGTTAACGATTGGGTTAATATAATCAATTTTAGGTCATCAAATCAATTAAATGCCGAATCGCAACTAGTCACTTCTCCTACATTGAAACAAGATCTTTTGAAAAACGTCGTTCGTCATAGATTTATTTCATATTGTGTACAAGGACAAGTTTCTTTTGATAAAATGGTACCTTTTCCCTCCACATATACATCTCCAAGTGTTATGGGACCCTTTGCCTTCATTCCTTCCTTAGAATGTAATCATGGAATTTTAAGTATGAATCATAGATCTCAAGGTAATATAGAGTTTACAAATGAAGAGAATAAAGATGATTTCAAAAAAATTATTTTTGAGAATGGATGCGGATATATAGAGAAAGATTGGGGCTTTGATTTTCCTCAGTCATATATTTGGGGACAGACTAATAATTTCATGAATGAGGATGGGTCTTCAATATTTGTAAGTATGGGCATTTTTATTTATTT